TTTACACCTTTTGCTGTTCATTAACCGCGAAGGGACTTTCAATCAAGCGAAACTGCATTGTCTTTAGCGCGAACGAACGTTCATTAACGCTTAGGGAGTTTCAAGAGCGTGAAGGGAGAATCATTAACATATTTAGCATAGACATGGACAATCATGCATAACTGGGCGCAGATTCATTAACGTTTTCAAACCTTCATTAGCCCATTATGTGCATTCAATAAACTACAACAAACATACAATACCAAAATACGGACATTTAATTTCGTCATAGTATTTATTTCTAGGATTTAAAGAGTGTTTAATAAGTGTGATATTTTACATACAAAAATTATCTTCATCCTTGAATATGCTCTCTATTTAAGCATCTTGGTAAATAAGTTTGCATATGGTTGCGGTAGAACTATTAACCCCCAATGTAGCGGCAACCGCTAGATAATCCTCGGCCGGGTCCTCATACGCTCTTACAAGACGCTCTTTCACTTCGCTCGAAATTCGATGTCGACGCGGAGGCATTGCATTCCAACTTTAAACAAGTCGTAGTAGCTGTAACGAGTCATATTTCATGCTGAAATTTGACTGCAAAAACTATGACGAAATTAAATGTCCGTATTTTGGTATTGTATGTTTGTTGTAGTTTATTGAATGCACATAATGGGCTAATGAAGGTTTGAAAACGTTAATGAATCTGCGCCCAGTTATGCATGATTGTCCATGTCTATGCTAAATATGTTAATGATTCTCCCTTCACGCTCTTGAAACTACCTAAGCGTTAATGAACGTTCGTTCGCGCTAAAGACAATGCAGTTTCGCTTGATTGAAAGTTCCTTCGCGGTTAATGAACAGCAAAAGGTGTACTACCAGCCAGAGTCAGAGCTATTGGCTTAATTAATATGCCTGACTAACTCTGGTGATCTGATTGGTCAAAAATTAATCACCCAAGAGACTTACAGCTCCCTCTGCAGTTTTTGACAGCTGTCAGTCATTCTGTACTGGAATGGGTTTTATTTCTCATTAACTAGTAAGTGGTTTTGGATGTTAGGCAAGCTTTTCAGTTCTTTTTACAATAATTATGAACATACTGTAACCCTAATTTCGAAAATAAAAACAAACTCAACATTTCAACCCGACAAAATTCAAAACTATCGACAGACAAGAAAGTTTACTTGCTAGAAGCAAACATTTGTCTTTATTTTTATCACTTCTGCATGCCCAAGCGAAAACAGACTCGAACAAACAAAGCATTTAATTTCAACCTAACGCGGCAAATTCAAAACCACTAGCAAATCAAACTGCTAACGAGAAAGTTCACTTGCTAGAATATGYTAGAAGCAAGTAGTCTAATTAGTCGTCTGGATCGTCTTTAACAACAACTCTTTATTTCGAAAAAACACTGGTTTTTAGCGGTAAAAAAGCACAGAAAGTTTTATAATAACTTGTTGTTGTAATGAAACAGTGTATAACAACGACTGTTTATTTCGATAAACACTGTTTTTAGCGGTCAAAAAGCGTAGAAAGKTTTATAATAACTTAATGATGTTGTAATGAAGCAGTGCCCAAAAACAACTCTTTATTTCGAAAAACACTGGTTTATTTTAGCGGTAAAAAAGCACAGAAAGTTTTATAATAACTTGTTGTTGTAATGAAACAGTGTATGACAACGACTGTTTATTTCGATAAACACTGTTTTTAGCGGTAAAAAACGCAGAAAGTTTTATAATAACTTAATGAAACAGTGCATAGCAAAGACTGTTTATTTCGATAAACACTGTTTTTAGCGGTCAAAAAGCGTAGAAAGTTTTATAATAACTTAATGTTGTAATGAAGCAGTGCCTAACAACGACTGTTTATTTCGATAAACACTGTGTAGTTTTACTGCAAAATTACAATCACGAATCCATGCACGCATTCAGACTTCGCGCTAGTACCATGTAAAGTCCCGGATGGATGTCAGTGAATTCTGCCTGATGAACTGGTTGCCAGCAAGAAATTCGGGAAAACAAGAGCTCTCCTGTCAAGGAGAATACATTCTAAGAATTTTTGACAGGAAAACAACATAATAACAGTAGACCCCTTTGGCTACTCCTGTTATAGCGAGAGAGGTTATAGCCTTTACTACTAATAACATGACATGTCTAATATGTATTATCATCCATATAGTATAATGCCCACAGACTTGTTATGTCTTGAAGACGAAAAATGATCTAGCTTAGCTTTATTCGGCATAGAATGAGCCGCTCCTATTTTTATTGTTGGATATCTAGAAACACACAAGTCAAATTGACACATCTGGTTGCCTGTGAGATTTGAAAAATGATGATAACACTAAAACGCAAAACAAACAAACAAACAAATAAAAACAAACACRAACAAACTAAAGATTCCTCCTCCAGTTAATGGCGCTGTAGCATGTTGGAATAATCAAGGAAACAACGTATGCACAGTTTCATGTAACAGCAACTTCGACTTTGCCTTCAGACCAGCAACAGTGTACCACTGCAGTACCCGCGGGAAGTGGAGCACATTTAGTATATACGGTGGAAGTAATAGTGCCAAGTGGCCAGATTGCACARGTACATACCATTCTGCCAGTTGTATATTTCATCACAGACCTCCTCGCGCTTAATTAGTTTGTACAAATAAAYTTCCATGCATACATACAACATACGACAGTATACAAAGCAGTAAACAGAGTGAGATATTAGATGTACGGTAACAGATAAAGTATMCGAGTTCGTTTTACATACAAGAATGCAGTTTGTTTATTTAGACAAACACGACATCATATGGTTGCATAATTATTGCATTCATAAATTAGTCTCGCTTGGCTTTGCTGTTCTAATACTGGAATATTAGAGTACAAACATTAAATGTGTGAAACACTTTCCACTATTTACTACAAAATAGTGTTAATTAAACAATAGAAAACAATAGAATTAGCATAATTTAGCAGTATTTAGTGGTATTTATGTTGCACAGTTTTAGTGTTTGTACTCTACCTCATCTTCATCAGTATTTTATTAGTATTTTTTTATTAGTATTTTTTTAGTATTTTTTTTTTTCATGTCTAAAACAGTATTTAAAAATGGTGACATGATTTGAAACCTCAGGAGTAAAGACTAATTGTTAGCTTTAATAGGACAGAAGTGATGTTATTCAATACGCTTTTCTTTATTTTCATTCAAATCCTCAGGAATGAAAAAGATGCCATTGCCGCAATTCTATTACACAGGAGAYTCTAAAGATCCTAAAGTCATTTCTAAAATAAAACAAAATAGCATCGCACTACTCAGCCCTCCGTGCTCTCCACCTTTCTTCTGCATAATGAATCCAAACTGTAATGTTCAAAATATCCAAGTTCATGCCGGCAAGAAATAGACAACACGATTTTATGTTCTTGACTGAAAATCATTGAATATGGAAAGGATAATTATTGACCAAGTTAAAATTTATCTTTATCTGTAATAATCAACTACAGCGGGTTATAATWGGCTAATAAAGCATAAATATATATCGGGGTTGCCAAATTCTTTCTTTCTTTTACACTTTTTCATATTAGGAAATTTTGACTGTGGTCCTGCTGATGCGATAAAACCAAGAATAAAATGATCTATATCTAAATAGAAGAAAAAGGACTTAGCAGCACAAGGWGTGCTTTGTMWYCTGTAATGATAWAACCAGTCAWTACACATCGCAGGTCTTGTTATTTGTARGACAACTTWATTCCATTGAGTTAAACTTATTGAAGCACGCCAAAAAYATGTTATCTTTAATAAAAATTTTCTGGTATCAAGGTCGCCATTCKTTTGCCATTACTTGCTCGGCGAGGATCAAATTTGAAATGAAACTATGACAAGAAGACAACATTCGAAGAAACACACATACCAGATGTTGACTATATCTGATTGTATCCGTGAGTACTTGCACAGCATTTTATTTTATTAAAATAAGTCACTTAATATAGTTTCTTATATATTCAACAACTATCAAGACTGTTAAATTATGCATGTTATGTGCTGCAAGGAGATGCAGTTATTGGAGTAGATTCCGTCTTGTCAAGTATATCAGCCCGAATACAAACTTACAAAGGAATTCTCATCGTGCATCATTTACGCAGCAATGAGGTAATTTGGTCACTGACAACACTCATTAACGTTKCAAAAGTTGATGCTTCGACTTGATTGAATAGATTTTCTGTTAAAAATTCCAATGAGATGCAACCTATTAATATGTTAGAATCCATCTCAATCTCCTCACAGGTTCACACTCGCATCTTCTGCACAACTATATTTTGTCTGTTTTGTTTCCAAGTAACAAACCTTGCTTGCTAAAGCAATAATGGCAGGTTGAACTACTATAGACACTTTATTCAAAACTCATACTAAGAAGTATGTTTAATATATTTGTGCTCTTACTAACTTAGAATAGACATAGGTGTAAGGACATGCTCAACTAGTAAGGATCGTTCTGGTTTGCCACTCGTTTATTCTTGGTTCTCACGTACAGTAATTACAAAACTATGGTTAGTAATGTGTTCGGCTCAAGATGAGGCTGAAGAAGGTCGACCAGAAAGACTTTCCGCTGTCGGAGTGCTTGTACAGTAGGGCTTCCAAACTCCAGCACTTTCCATACTTTGGTTTGTACTTTCCAATACGATCTAGACTACAACCCCAGTCTTGGCCCGTAATAGGTACAATGAGATGAGTAGTGAGTTTCGAGTGCTATAACGTCAGTCCTTTTATAATTCTAAACTTAATCCAATATCCTGTTTCCATCAAATGCTAGTCAAAACTAAAAACGATGGTGGTCTTAACTATAGGAGGTTGTACCACACATGAAACTACATATAACTAACATTAGTCAAAACAGTCTAGGTCTCTAATATCAACATTTATCGAAAAATACAAGGTCATGAGAAATTCAAATAATAAATCTCTCAAATTCTGTTATCTAACATAGGTTCGATAGTGTAGTCAACAAATTACTATAGTGATTTTCATCAAACTGAGAAGCTTCTACAGTTAATATGCAATGTACATGAGAATGTGATCTCKGCAAAGAATTGCTTTGGTTTGTTGGCATATGACTATTAGAARTCATTGAACTCTATCGATATGGAATAAATGCTTTTTATACCCAACGTGAGTAAGTGTGTGCTGCCAGGACGTCAAAAGACTGACCCTATCCCAGACCTAGAATGGTTTTGACATTATTATTTGTTGTATCCCACAGTTAAAACCAGTATTTTTGGTTTTCTACAAAATTTTATATATATTTTTTTTAAGTCTACAAAATGTTACAAATCAACATGCATCCGTTGTGCTGCTCTCTGGTCTCCTTGAAAAAATGTATTTTAAAGGAAATAATTTAAATAACAATAAATAAACATTAAAAAAAAACAGCATTAAATAAAGAATCAACTTAGACGATAGCCGTTCTGACAAAGACAAATGTCCGTGCCAAGATTTAGCGATACGCGGACTAGAATTATCTAGTTGCGTCGCAATTGCTCGATAATCAGCTTTATTCGAATTTCTTTTTGTGATAAAACTTATAATTTTGCACTAATTTATGATAAATGCCAAAATATGTTGTGTTAATATGTTATTTTAATATGTTATTTTATTAAAATAAACGTTTCTAACATTGAGGTCGCCATTCTGTTGCCATCATTGSCGAGAATCAAACTTGTAATGAAACTTTGAAAAGAAGACAACTTTGAAACACACATGAGTATATCTTATTGTATCTAATTGCACTAATTTATGATAAATGCACGTTTTAAAAAACCTCCAAATATAAGTMGAGAATTGCTTACTSCTTTAACAAAAAATCGAGTTTCTCAAATTAAGCTGGCCAAACCACCGCTTTAAAACTTTCACTATGGAAGGGTGGTAACTGGCATGAGCAAGTAAAGTCTCTCGTCTACTGTACATGTACTTGTTTGAATTACTAGTAAATGGAGTTAATAATAGAAATAAACGAAACTAGCATATGCTCTCTAAATATTTTACTAGCTACCTATTTAGCAAGCATATTGTTTGCATTCTATAAGATGCTTTATATAAAACTAGGAACTATAGTTACTAAGCCAAATCTAAATAGTACACTCTAGTGGTTCCTAAACACGTAGTCTAATAAGGTCCAGATTTAGTTCTAGCTGTTTTGGCTGATATTCACTCATACGAAAACTCCCTTACTACTTTTTTAAAAAAATTCTAAGATGCTTGCGTTTAGGACTATAGAGTAGACTTTGCCATATATAATACCAAAAGAACATGTTCTAAGTTTTTCTAAACAGTTGACAAGCGTCATTGTTGAGAAAATAAATATGTAATCAACAACAGTTTGAACTTTGAGTTACTTCTCCTTGTTGTTCAAGTTACTGGCTCAGTGATGTCAGGTACATGTTTAGAGCCAAGATATTTCCTGGTTCATCACACTTAAATTCGTGATAGCATYTAGGGCAYTTTGCGCTCAAAATCTGACCTGTAAACTCTGTGACTTTTGRCTCCTKCTTGCAGGAAGGGCATCGGTGTGTGAGGACTTGGAGGCCTTTCAAATTCTGCAGAAATTGTGAAGCCTTTCCAGCTCCATGCTTAGCATAGTATTTCTTTTCTTCTCTCGTTAATTCGTCTTCCGTCCAGAAAACATCGATAAATTCTAATCCAAGAACATGTGCATCTTGAATTCTGAAAAATCCRTTGTCTCCCCATTKAACWCYCCAAGAATTCATCAARCGCATGCACTCACTGTTGTAGCTGGTCAAAACGACGGCGTGTCCCCCCGTTTCTGCATATCGAGAACGTTTAGTGATGTCGAGTTTTTCCCGAGTAAGAACGCCKCTAGGAYTACTTTCGAAGAACTCTGAAAAAATGCTCCATTCATGATCAGTAAGATCAAAAATTGCCACCACCGGACGTTTGGCAGTGATTGCCGCCATTGCCCCCAATGCATCTACTTGTTYACAATGCAATCGATAGCGAGGGCAAACACTCTGCAAAACACCAAAGGTATATGCTCCATCTTCACCATATTCATCAATTAGCTCTTGCCGCAAATCATTGAATTCTGGATAACCACCTTGTCGTCCGAGTATTCGCTTCATGGAGAGATGGAGTACTGCGGCTGATGCGTTTGCATAGCAAGTGCCTCCTTCTTGTTTTTTGGCGCCAAAATCATTTCTGCTTTGGTTGATGTAAATATCTAGTGACACTGAAGTCAAAACATCTGCCAGAGCATCTTGACAGCATACAACATTACGGGCCAAATCGCAGGCATTTTTCAAGATATCAGGATGATTCACTTGAAGGAACAATTTGGTTTCATTGTCGGTGATATCGATGTTCCATCCTTGCTTGATGAAAATTGTGCGAGGAAGTAAATCTGTTGGAATTTTAGAACTCAGTTCAAATAAAAGCTTGGCGCCGTCCTCCCAACTACTATCAGCTCTGCTGAACAACCTCTTTGGCTCGATGTTATCTATTAATCTAGTGATGAAACAAGATACTATAGTAACATCCCTTTCCTCAAATTTCGAGATCAATTCATTTTTGCAACTGCCATTATCAGAAGGATCTCCATCTGATATCACAAGTAGAATCTTCTTATAATCTTTGTACTTTGGGTAGGAGAATAGTTGAAAAGCATTTCTCAGTGATCCATAAAGTGGTGTCGAGCCGCCATATATGAAAGGTCTGACGTCGTCCATCAATTCCTGGACTCGCTGTTTTGTGAGATTATCTTCATCGACGCTTCCATGGAGAATGTCCGATGCTTTTTTAACAGTGAAGATAGATGATGGAACAGCAACTTCTCTAATTAGGAATTCGTTCTTTAGAAGAGACGTAGCTTTATTTACAGCATCTTCAATTTCTCTCTCACTGGCAGGGCGAATGGTGCTCACAGCTGATTCTCCGATTCCCAATAAAAAATGTGCACCAGGAATATGGCCTACGAGCTCTGGAGTATTATTTTGGATTCCTTTGCACGCATTTGGTAGGCAATCGTTGACAACTCTCTTTGCAAAATCAGGCTTGGATTTCAGGTGATGTAACAACTCCTTTGCCTCACTATGCGATATTTTGACTCTGATATCTCTCGGGCTGGCCCATTTTCGTACTGCAGATGCACCTTCTCCTTCTAAAATCTTCAAAATACATTCAATGGTGCTTGCATGATCAAGAAGGCTTGTTTGATTACTTTGGAAATCTTCGATTGTACGCATTACGTCAAATATTGTGCGTGAGTTGTTCGCCCCCATCCCGATGGCAAACATGTGGTTTGAGCTAGAAACATCATGTTTGATTAGGCTGTCAATGACTCGAAAGAGAGAACGAACCCATTCTCCGCCTTCTGCGTAAACTCCATCTCCGATGCTGTATTCCATTGAACCCGACACATCAACAATGACGCCAATCAAAGTGGAATATTTTTCAGACATGCTGGATAAAACTGAAAAAAAAATATTATTGATAAATTAGTCTTTGATTTTCTTCCATCATTTTAACCCTATTCAGTCTAGGCTATAACATATAATATTTGAGGGGAAGGCTCATTCGGCCCCTCCTCTATATGTTCGGAACGAATAAGTTTTCTGATCATGAAATTTTCACACAATGGTCTCCCAAGTAAAACGAAACCACCACACCCAGTCTTGACCCGTGGGAACTAAATATGACGTCATAATGGCGTCATTTACATCATTTTAACGATTTATTATGCATCTTAATTAACTGCCCCCAATGCCATAGAGAATGCTGCAATATATCATCGGTTTATATAATGGCGTCATTTACATCATTTTAACGATTTATTATGAATCTTAATTAACTTCCCACAATGCCATAGAGAATGCTGCAAATATCATCTGTTTATTATTGAAATAACGTGGAATCAAATAATCCCTTTTTTGTATTTTTTTTAATTGACTCCCATTCTATAGGAGGTCACAATGACGTCATAGAACATTTTTATAAATGATATCTAGATAACCAGTTAAATATCATATTTATAGACGTTACTGCTCTCCTGTGATGCTAGAGTTTGTTTTGTATCCATGGTAACACATGTGACGGTATAACTACGATGACGTCATTGGGAAACAGCGAGTTTGCAAGCAAGTGATATAACAGGACAATCGTCTCAATCAAAAGCTGGACCAAGTGTTAATGTAGTAAAGTCTAAAAGTACCAAGAGAGTAACCTGCTATGCCTGTGGAAAAGAGGGACACATGATGAGAAACAAGAACTGTCCAGCGAAAGGAAAAAAATGTGCAAAATGTAGGAAATATGGTCATTTTGCAGCATGTTGTAAAACACAAACATCATCTGGATACAAGGATGAAGCTGAGAGAAGTACCAAAAGTAGCAGTAAAGATGGATGGAGAGGAAACCGAAGACGTGGTACTGCCAATTGTGTAGAAGAGGAGGAGGAGAGCAATAGTGATGAGGATGAATTTGCATTGCTGTTACAGAAGAGGTACAAAATGTGTGTGCTAGAAGTGGAGAGCCTATGTTGTCGGCAAGCATAAATAGCATTATTGATTAGGGATCGGCGAGCAACCTGATTAGTTTAAACGAATACAACCAGTTGAAAGCAAAAGGTTTATAGGCCAGGTTGTCTGATTGCAAAAATAATTTGTTTGCTTATGGAGGCTAAAAGCTTGAAGTGCTAGGCAAATTTGATGCTGAGTTATCAGTTGACGGTAGAAAAATTGATTCCCAGTTTGTGGTTACTGATAACGGACGGTGTCTTCTGGGGAATGCCTCATCAAAAGCGTTAGGAATCTTACGTATTGGGACAACTGATAGCCTTGAAACTGACTGCAACAGTGTACATGATATTGAATCGGAACTTAAAGCAAAGTATCCTAAGGTCTTTTCAGGAATCGGCAAACTCACTGATTACCAATTACAGCTGCACATCGACAATAATGTCAAACCAGTATCCAAAAAGCCGCATACCATTCCTTTTGCTTATCGAGAGAAGGTTACAGCGAAAATAAATAGCCTTATAGAGAAAGACATAGTGGAACCAGTGGAGGGTCCTACATCATGGGTCAGCCCCATAGTCGTCGCACCCAAGAGTGGATGAGACATAAGGTTGTGCGTTGACATGCGTCGTGCCAACGAAGTGATAATTCGATAAATAATTCCTATACTGACGGTTGACGAGGTGCTCGAGAGTCTGGATGGTAGTACAGTATTTTCCAATACGGACCTACGACTAGGATTCCATCCGATAGAGCTGACTGAAAGTCCCCGAGACATAACTACATTTGCTACGATGGACAGACTTTTCAGATATAAGAGACAACTCTTCGGAGTAAACGCTGCACCTGAGAAGTATCAGCAGATTGTCAGACAAGTACTAGCTGACATTGAGGGTGTCCAAAACATCGCAGATGACCTCGTGGTGCACGGGAAGGGTGTGGAGGACCATGACAGAAACTTGGAAAATGTCATTAGAAGACTAAACGAGAGGAACTTGACGCTTAACCCAGCAAAATACTCCTTCAGGATGGACAAGATTGTCTTCATGGGTATCCTGCTATCAAAATATGGAATCAGGCCGACAGAGGAAAGAGTGAAAGCAGTTTTGAAATCCAAAGTCACCATCGGAAGTTTGTAGCCTCTTGGGAATGGTTGGATTCAGCGCACGCTTCATACCAGATTTTGTAACAACTGCAAAACTCCTGCGTAAGATAGCCAGGAAGGACTCAGCGTTTATATGGGAGGCCGATCAACAAAGAGCATTCGACAAGTCGAAGGAGGATCTGGCCAGTGCCCCAGTTCTTACTTTCTTCGATCGACATGCTCACACTCGTGTTATTGCTGATGCGAGTCCAGTTGGGCTTGGGGTGGTGTTGACACAAGAGCAGGACGGCGAGACTAGAGCAGTTTGCTATGCCAGCCGAAGCCTCAGCAGCGTGGAAAGAAGGTACAGTCAGACGGAAAATGAAGCATTAGCATTGGTATGGGTTTGTAAGAAGTTTAACATATATCTGCTAGGATTGGAATCGTTCGACTTGGTGACCGACCACGAACCCCTGAAAGCCATCTACTCCAACACTTCCAAGCCATCTGCACGAATTCAAAGATGGGTTTTGAGATTACAGCCATTTAACTTCAAAGTATGCTATGTAAAGTCAAGAGACAACATTTCCGATGCCCTGTCCCGAATGACGAAACAGACACCGAGAGAAGATGGTAAGCATGACGACGAATACGTTCGTATGGTTGCAGTCCATGATGTTCCAGCAGCACTCAACATTAAGGAAAGCATCAGCTGAAGACAAGGAATTACAAGCAGTGAGAGCATGCTTAGTTAGTGGACACTGGAACAGTGCACCTAAAGAGTATGTTGTAGGTCGGAACGACATTGGAAAAGTCATCCTTCGTGGAAACAGAATTGTAATCACAAAGAGTCTAAGGAAACGAGTCACAGACATGGCTCACGAGGGCCATCAAGGCATTGTAAAGACCGGCTCAGATCCAAAGTATGATGGCTGGGGATGGACCGCGATGCTGAAAGAAAGTGTAGAGAATGCCATAGTTGTCAGGTTGTAACTAGGCACTACAGCTTGCCAGCAGTGAAATCAACGAAAATGCCGGACCAGCCTTGGCAAGACCTGGCACTGGACCTGCTTAGACCAATGCCCACACGAGAGTATCTTATTGTCCTAACTGATTACTTCAGCCGCTGGGTTGAAGTTGACATAGTGAGATCTACCTTAAGCAAAGTGATTATAAACCGCCTTAACAGTCACTTTGCAAGACATGGAGTCCCAAGGACATTAAGGACTGACAACGGGTCTAACTTAGTATCTGGTGAGATGGAGAACTACCTCAAGTAGATGGGAATCACCCACAAGTTGACCACGCCCTTATGGCCAAGAGCAAACGGAGAAAGGACTGGAATACAGAACTGAACAAGTATCTATTAGCATATAGATCCACTCCACACTCTACTACTGGAAAGAGCCCTTCACAACTACTGTACAACAGATCATTGTGTAAGCTACCAAATGAAATCAAGCTCGAAGAAGAAGACAAGGATAATCATGACATTAGAGATCGTGACGCAGAGAAGAAGCAAGCCATTGCTGATTATGCAGACAAGAGAAACCGTCCTTTGCAAATTGATGAGCTCAAAGAAGGTAATTTGGTTTTGTTGGAAAAGAGAAAGGACAACAAGTTAACACCATCCTACGAGGAGGACCCATAGAAGATTACGGCACGATATGGAGACCAACTCCACTTGTGTTCTCCTCAAGGTGTTACCTACAAAAGAAGTATTGGACATGTTAAGAAGTACCAGCAGAGCCAACCTATCCAAACAATGTGGAGGCACCTACAAAGGGCCAGCAGGACGATCACACCTCTGAATCACAATTGACAAGTCAAAGGCAAATCAGGAGCCAATAGCAACTAGTGATCAAAGCCAAGCCAGCGAGGCTGCACCAACTGTATGTAAAAGATCAACAAGAATCAGCAAGACTCCAGAACATTTTAAGGACTTTGCGATGACATAGGTGATTCTACACCAAACAGTGAACTCTTACTACAGGGATCTTTATTACTCACAAGAAAGAAGACTGAACTTTGACTTAAATGACTTTGATTATTGATATAGCCAACTATTGTAAACAAGCGTATTTTGTTGTTTTTTGTTACTCGCATTTCTCTTGAAGAAAAGGAGGGAATGTAGTGTTCGGGTTACCTGTGTAATTAGGAACACGAGGTTTGAGTAAAAGTGTGTTTTTGGCAGCCACTGTGTGTTGTGGTTATTGGGTCTTTTGTGGATCACTTTATAGCCTTAGTGGCATATTATAGGCGCGTAGCGTGGAAGTTGTGGCTAGTACGTCTATTACGCACATGTCAGGAATAGCTACACATATTTTGGTTTTGGGCTGTAACGACCGACGTATTAAGGGGGGTCTTGGGGTCCTCTGGCAGGAAATTTTAGAAGAATACGGTAAATCTTGGAAATACGATAACGATGCCTTGGTGCGAGAAAGCAAGTAAATGCAATTATCTAAAAATATATCCCGAAAATTGTAATAATTCCTTGCCACTAGTAGTAAATTCTCAATTCAGTTTGACTATCGAAGAATGCGAACGGCGAAGATACAAACTCACTAAATACTATACTAGGCCTGCACTATAAATAGCCCTTGTACCCTGCATATGCATCGTACAGGCAAATGTATACCAATAAACTGTTCAACATTCTACTTACAACCAGAGTTTTATATTGTCATATAGTTCCTGTCTGCTAAAGGGCGGTAGAGCTAAAATTATTCCCTATACTGGTCGAGATGTTGCTCTATTTATCCAACTTAAGTTAGTCGAAAATAAAATACATAAAATCTATCCTGATCATCTTAGACACTAAAGAGTTCTTGATTTGACGAAACTCATTCAAATGACCGTTTCAAGCTGCTGTCGCTGAATTTTATACCGATGTCCCAGCTGTACCGATCAATGCTGTCTCGCCAGATAGACGTTATTTTTTATATTAAAGTCACTATGCATATAGTTTTAAGGCTATACAGTATTCTCTCACCGTATTCTCTGCTTTATTAGTTTATGTTAATATCTAAAGTAACATTTTCTCAGAAGAGATGTCGAAAGAACCTGTTTATTAAACCGGTTTCAGACAATGGCCTTCCTCAAACAGTTTTATGATCATTGTGCTTTATAGATTAGACGCCCATCAAAAAAGCCCCTTCTCCCTGATGACCTGTTTCAATTCTTTCTACATTTTCACAAATGCAATTATCATTTAGACGTCCATGTAAATTATTTATAAAAACACTGTTTGTTTCGAAAAATTGCTACCCTCTAACCGAGAAACGGCAAAAAGGAATTCATCGTCGTGGCTGTCGTGGTGGCTTTATCATTCTGGCAAAGTATAGCCGTAGAATGTGTTTTATTCAGGTTGTAGTTTAAGCTATAATGTAAATACTAGGATACTCATCTAAGTTGACTTCTGTTGTATTATTAATACCGAAAATAAACTAGTTTTCTTAGAAGAGATTAAAGTCGAAGAAACCTGTTTTAAAACTGGTTTCATAGTACAATGGTCTTCCCAGACCAGTTTTATAATGTGCTTTGTATTCCAGGCGCGTAGGCTGGGGGGTTCTAATTATATAAGCCCATTTCGATAAGTGAACGGGTATTCGAAAAGAAAACTATTCCCGCGAGGTCTTAATCACGGCCGCTTTCCTTTTTTTATGGCTAAAGCTCTTCCTCTCGATAAAACGGCAAGCAAAACATTCAGTCAATCACTGTTGCGAATTTACTTTGGAAAGAGCTAAAATCTGTGTAGTTTCAACCGAGCATCCTTTATTCATGCTTTTGTCGGAACGGTATATTAAACCTGTATTTGACAAAATTTAAGTTATACTAGACTTTTAAAAATCCTCGCTGATTTCAAAAGTTGATAATTTTTCGCAAAAGAAATACTGAAAATACCTGTTTATACCGGTATCATTCGTGTTTTCTTTCAATGAGTCATATGGACGAGTAAACAAAAGACGCTTTCTGGTAAGAAAATATAGAATTGTCATGCTGGAGTCTTACTAAGATCAGAGATTGTAGCTCAAATGGTCTACAAATTCATGTATAGTGTGATACTATATTGAACCTGTTGAATTGTCAATATAACTCAATTTGGTCTCTGTTCTTCGGCCTATGTGTAACATCTTGCTATCTTGCGTGACATAATGCAATAAATAATACGACAAAAAATAGAATCATAGAACAAAATCTTGTTGTGATTGTGTATCCCAATATTGCAAGCTTTTGCATTTATATCTAGTAGATGAAAACTTTGTGTAATAATCCAATGACGCTTCATGTCGACGGCTAAGAGCTAATAATTGGGTCAGACAGCTTTTGACCAAAACAGGAAATACAGTAAAGATCTGCTATTTATGTGTAATTGATAATTCATGTAAGCATAATCTACTGACTACCCTTTTTCAATCATTTTGCTGTTTTGTTATCACAATGAATTTATATGTATACAGGATGAATTGTAAGATTTCTATAAATATTCTATTTCTCTCGGGGTAACTGCTACCCAAACAATTTGTATCAACTAATTACGAACACGAGTGAATATCGACGGGACTGTCTAGTACTTTTTTTCCTAATTTTGTAAATAATTGAGCGATTTACATTTCAGTACATTAACGACCTGTATACGATACTCACCATTAGTCAATGTCTGTTTTAGTTTCTCGAGGGATGTTTTCCACAGAAATACAATTTTTCTTGGAAGAGATCAAACGACAGCAAAACCTGTTTATTACTCGCTTCATACCTGTTTAACTTTCGGGACTTTCCCGTGACTAAGTAAATATTAATATTCATGGTTCTGAGAAGTGGGGGTTTTACCAGAAATATAGCATTTTTGCAAATGTAAAGGTATATTACAGCATATATATAATATACGACCTCTTAGAGACCCTTAGATGTAGTCATCACAATTGTTGGCGAGATTTCAGGTCATATTACTTCAGCCTTACAAATTCTCAAGTGAATTATTTTAACAAATTAAAATTAAAATGTCTTTGTACCGCGTTGGTACCGACTTKAAGTTAGGTCATAACATRGTGGCGCGGGGTTCTTGTGTTCACGTTGTTCTTCAGTTTCAAAGCAAAGATCACCACTGTTTTCCATATTTTATTGTTAATCAACTTCTCGTAAATCATACAGCAATATGTAAAAGACCTTGTGAATGTATTAAGCTGCCACAAGATATATAGAAACTCTAACATCCGATTGCTCGAGCTGTTTGTTTACAAGAGGTTGCTAAAAAAGTCGCTAGCTCTTCCACGGACAGTTCAATTTGCTGCAAATTGGTAGCAATGGACCTGCAACACCTGAGTCCTTCCTGACCTGAAATCGGGCAAACGCAGCGAATAAATGATGAAGTTTACAAAGGAGTTACCATAGTGAAGAAGTTTGAGCATGTGAGTCATTAACAATCTGCTTTGATAAGATTGGCAGGAGTTAACACATAATATGAGATGCACCGAATAAGCCAAAAAAGGGACCCATGTGATCAAACTGATAATGGTAACAATAGCAAGCGTGACAGATAATTTTCGATTTCTCTGGTGGATTGCGAGACCAAGGACATTTCTCATACACGTAAATTTTACCCATATAAGGAAATATGCACAGATAACGATGACCAATGGGATTGAGATACTCGTTATCACAATCATTGCATTTGCAACTGTCGTCCTTACAAGAGGAAATGCCGCGAAAGCGTAAATCAAAGGTAACAGCCAAGCCACCAATATCCCAATCATGTATGGAGTCTTGCTTATCGTACGGTGCTTGAATGGGTAGTAGGTGGCATATGTGCGTTCAATGGCGATGGAAGCTAAGCCTAATAAAGATGCAATACCCAAGAAAGGGTCCAGCATCGAAGCGATTGTAATAACCACGCGAGTTGATGGGTTTTGAATAAGGTAGATGTATACAGGTATTGCTATTAATCCTACGAGCAGATCTGCAACGGCAAGGTTGACTATCAATAAGTATTTACGCAAACGCAGACGAGGATTTCTTCTAAATCTCACTATGGTAATTATGTTTGTCGTTATTATAGCAATGGCCTCCACTGAAAACAGCCATACCGCCCACATTGAAGGCTTATCACYTTGTGCTGGAAAAATAAAGTTAAGTAATCAAAATGGAGCACTCTTTTGCTAGAGCGTAAAGCATTATAAGCATGTGACACTGTAAGAGTTTTTACTGGCGAAAAAGAGCGTTCTATGTAAAAAACGAACACGGCGGAAGACGTCATTGTTTGCAGAATGACTTTCGTGGTCTCGTCACTTTTAAGCGTATTCCATAGATGGAGAAGCTCACGAATACAACACACGATTACAATTCACCTTGGTGTTATAAAGGTTAGTTGTTGAATCAGGATTTTGGATACGATTTCATCAGTGGTCATCGAAAAACTCCATGAAAAATACACCTCCATCAGTGTCAGAACTGGTTCAAAGAAAGGTTATTCATGTATTTGAGGAGCTTTTTAAKTTCCATTCAAACTACTTCTTATAATAATAATAATAATAATATGAATGTCATAAACCCACCAGTGGTGTGCTAACTTTTATCTTAATCGTCTTTTGTCCTTTATTATTGCATCGAAACGGTGTAGAATGATTGGGTAAAAAGTGTTGATTAATTTTGTCTCAAATGGACAATGAAATATGGAGTATTGAGTACTTATTAAATGTCATATCATGTTGTCATTTTCAAGCGACATCTTAGTGACATCTTCGTTTCTGTTGTTAATAATAATGGGGTAAAAGAAAACTTAGCAAAAAATAACATCAATATCCATCAAACAACGAAGTGAAGTACGATTCCATATTGCTCATTACTGGCTATTGATATTTTCCTTACACTCCAAAATCATGGTAGTCGGGAACAATAAAGATATCATAAAGAAGAGGGTGTCGATAAAAGATTATTTTCATTTTTCGCATGTTTTTCATGCAGCAGTGCGGTATATAGTTCCAAAAAAAAACTTCGTGGATTATCAACTCATAGTTCAATTAATCTTTGAATATGGTAAAAAATGGAATATAACAGAACGAGTTCAAAATGATTCACCAAAACAATTTTAAAAATATATGAATGACCTTTTCGTGTAGTTTCAGGTACTTACGATGCAATTGTCGATATACGCGTAAGGTTTTCAGTTCTTCATTTTGGATATAGCGAAATTAAAGGCTAACCCTGTAAGTAGCAAGGTCGCCTTTGAATTATTGAAATTAACAGACATTCCCATTTCACGAAAGACACTGTCAAATAAATAGATTGTCCAAAAGAAATTCGAATCGATTTTTTTTATCAATTTTGTTTTCCAAATTTATTATTACTCATTTCCACTTCCAACCTTAACAAGTGTAACAAATTAGTTCTCAAGACAGCTGAACTATAGCAATAAAGTCACACATAAAACATGTAGATACAGATCGACGAATAATGGATGTTGAAACGTTGTGCTTCAATTATTCGTAATGAAAGTACAGGGACAAATGTCATTATCCGACTATAGACTATTGCGAAGACACTTCAAGTCTTGTCTTTTTGACAACACAAGCGATCGGCCTAAGAGGGTTTTACAAGCTTTGGCAAACCATTTTCAACAGATTATCCGCTATTTTGTTACCTTTGATACGCCATCTTGAATTTCGTTTATTTAGGTTTTATGTCATCATCGATCAAGCATCTGAGCAAAATGATGTAAAATGTATGAAATGCTTATAAAACGTTTAATGTTTTTAAAATGCATGAAAAAGCGAGTTTGCAAGCTTTACAACCAAGAAATAAAATTGATTTGATGAGCTCCTTCTTCGATTATAGAAAGTTTTTATGTGGAGCAGACAACTAGTACACAAAAGAAGTCCACATTGTTGTTCAATTTATTTATTTTTTTCTTTTTTCAAGCAATTGACCTTGAAACTTGACCAACCTCTAAAGCAATCATTTACCTAATTTAATTGTAAATCATTCAAGCAATCTAATCAACACATGCCTACTGTTTTCAAAAAAACATATTTTCAGAAAATCAGTCATTTTTTTATTTTGATCCAAAAACATTGGATCAATTTATATTACAATCGAGTCAAGTTTTATGAAATTCCTTAGAGCCGAAAGTCTTGGAACAGTGAATGACATGGCAAATTAAACAGTCGAAAAAGGACTTCAGCTGCAAAAAGATTGTTAAAACTTTGCCAGATTGGATCCCATGCATAGATAAAAAGATCCTCCAATTTTTAGGGAAATAAAACGTATTTTTTTTAGAATGGAGTTTTTGTGAAAATAGTACTTATGTTAATTARTACATTAGTGCGAAATCACTAATTACTTGCATGAAAAACAAACATAGTCAATTTTTTAAAAAAAAGTCAAAATTATGAGTCGAAAAACAAATGACCGATGAGGTCRCCATACCAATAAATTTTACGGATCAAGTATTTATTTACAAGCACATTGTCGAAACGCTTACAAACAAGCAAGGTTCATAAGTAATAAATTTACAAATACAATTAACTATACTATATAACATGAAAAACGATATTAAAGACAAGGAAAAAAATGAAAATACTTAYAAACAAACTGTGCGATATACTCGATACTACGATATGGCAACACTAATTAAAATATTCAAAACGAGCGCTTAAACTGAACAAAATTTGCATGGAACATATAAGAAACAAAGGAAATAAACGAACGTTGACTTAGACTAACGAATACAATGGCGGACACTACTTAACGAAACAAAGCGAAAAACAAACAAAAAACACKGTTGGCGCTATGGCGCTAACAACCGATATGGTATTTCGGTGAAAGTAATGGATATATACACAAGCAGTTAAGTGACAGCTTAAAAGATTGCGTTTGTGCATTTCAGAAAGGAAAAATGGGCTTTAGTAATCGATTAGCCGATTTGCAAATTTCGCCTTAGTAGTCAAACACAAAAGAATCAAGACGAGGCGCCGTGCGTGAAGCTCAGTTTTGAAAAAACTATTATGTTTTCAYGAGTGACTGAGCTTTATGCACGGAGCCTCCCTGATTCCTTTGTGTTTGACTACTCGGCTATTAATCACCTGTCACTTCTTTTATCAGGAAAAGACATGCATTGATAGTTGGTTCGATTGCCAGAAATATACTACGGAAAGTCAGCAAATCTAATTTTTTAGATGTACATCAATGAAACCCTACGCCGGTTTTTGTTCTAATAAAGTCAATTTCGCATGAGTGGGAAACGTACGGAAGAAATTACCGCATGGTTACCGCACAGCTACCGGACCTGGCCTGCACAATTTTTGTGAACCAATGGGGCACTAGAATTAGGTTACAGTACGATTACGGTCACTGTAAAGTACCGTCCGTTTACAACTCATACGAAATCCTCTCTATTCCTTCACTAATGAGGTGATGATCACATCATCTCCAATAAGAAAGAATCCAGCCCAGTACATTGGCTCCTTGTATTTCTCTGTTTCTCTCATCTCCTTCATGGCTTGCTGTAGACTCCTACTAGCACTCGTTCCTTTCTTGAGATGTGAGTAGAATTTCTTCATAAAGTGCATAGTAGCTTGATCATCAATTGCCCACAATGATGCAACAACAGCACGAGCTCCTGCAGCAAGGAATGCTCGAGTCATTCCAACGACTCCCTCTGCCTTTATCTCCCCTCTTCCACTATGGCAGCAGCTTAGTACAACGAGTTGAGCACTGATTCCCCTTTCTTGCGCTTCTTTGATAGTCAAGACGTAGTTTTGTTCTTCTGGTATGCAGCCCGTCTCTACAGACTCGGAAGGAGCAAGAAAAATCTTTCCATCTACGCTTCCATGAGCTGCAATGTGTATAACTGACACTCCAGATTGTACATTTTGTAACACAGCTTCTTTGGTAGCTTGTTTTCTCGTCAGTGGCTCTACCCCGAGGAGGTTTGCGATTTCAATAGCTTCATTCTCTGCACATGGTAAAGCTGGAAACGATCGCGTTTTGCCTTTATACTTGACTTTGGGAATTTCTGGATTTCCGACGATCAGAGCTCCTGACTAACAAAAATATACAGTTGTTTAAAATAATGAAGTTATCCTTCAAAAGCATCTGTTGTGAGAACATAATGAGAAGTAGACCATACTCTCCAACAGCTCAGAAAGCAGCTTTATGTACATAAATTACTTGTAATTATTCACTATCCTCGAGAAAAGCTCAAGAAAAATATAAGCAACAACCAAAGTAGCGCATCGTCTACTCCTCATTATTTTCTAAACAGTAGTATTAACTTAATTTCTACAATTGACTGTTACTGCCAACATATACGTACAATATACAATTTAGAGGAAGTGCTTAAATCAACATGTATATACAATGACTAACCTTGGCATAGTGCTCTTCAGAGGAGTCTTGAAGAATTTTCAGGGTCGTCAAGGATGGGGCTAGACGAATGCACTTCGACTCCGATAAAAAATTGCCACTGGAATCCTGAAGAGCGGAAAATGGAACCATATACAACGACCCATCAGGAATGATGACAATCTCATCTTGGATGAGRTTTTTCTGTATTGGAACAACAATTCTCTCGTATAACTCCTGAAGTGGATTTTCGTCTTCCTGGTCTTCACACACCCATCTAGGCTCCTGAATACCAATCGGGCTCTTGTCTTCACTTTCTAGTACCGCCGCTGACCTGTCCTCACAGTGCATTCTTCTGAGTTTCATATTCGAGTAGCTATGTTCAATGAGAGTCTGGAGAGAACTATCTCCTTCATTTTCAGGAAGAATTCCCCCAGCCTCTGATTTTCCTGGAACGATATCCTCATCGCTGTAAAAGAATATTTCTTGAGTATGAGGAGATATCATCCAGTAGCGAACAAATGAGTCATGAAACATGTCACACATTACAATACCAACACCTCGAGTCAAAGAAATCTTTTGAGGATCACCAAGATTTAGCAAATCTCTTGTTGCCATGTCCTTTAGTGTAAATTTCATGCTTAGAAGATCGTCCAACGCTCGAGATTTACCACGTTCACAAGCTAACAAAGCTTCTTCAATATCTTCTGCCCTTATCAAAACCTCAGTCAGATTCTTGTAAACCTGGATAAATGTGTCGAAAATGGAAATCTTGAATTGATCTTTCTCTTTTAAATTATCAAACAGCTCTTCAAAGCATTGGATGCCCCTCTCGAAGTGTTCTTTAGCTTTGTAGAGAAAATCATTGTCAACAGTTTTATCGGGTACTATTCTGTAGACATTACCTGTAAAAGAAATGCCAAAACATATGTTACATACGCTTACACAGTACGTTTTAACGAACACGATGGATATTCGACGTAGCATGATTTACAAACTTTCCATGCTGCTGCACTCGAGAGCAATTGCTATTCGTAAAACTTAAATTTATTGGTTGCCTTTTTATTACAAATATATTAATATCTTATTAACCGAGCGCGAGGGCCGTACGGGAAGTTATAACATACACACAGTTAATTGTTTATCATCGATGATCAGAAAAAAAGGGGTTGGGAAAGTCAAATAGCATTAAATTATCATGGCCTTTTCCTCTCCTCTTTTTTGATTAGTTTTCTATAAAACAAAACAAAACTTACCAATGTCATTGTGTGTCTTTCCCTCACTTTCCTTATCATCAAGTTCCACTGCAATGTTGAGTTGTTTTTTGTAATATTCCATTGCCTTTTTCAGCTCTCCAAGACGAAGATGTGCGCCTCCCATTACCCCATAGGCTGATGCCTGTCTTTTCTTGTCACCAATCTCAACAGATGTGTCAAGACTTTTTTCGCAGAGTTCAATTGCTTTGTGATATTCACCCAAACTTGAATATGCACGTCCTATGTTGACATATCCAACTACTTCTCCTTGCTTGTCACCAAGTTCGCTGGCAATGTCGACATGTTTTTGGTGGTATTCTATAGCCTTATCGTATTTGCGTAGGACAAAATATGTACTTCCTATGTTTCCACACGTTGTTCCTTCTCCTTTTCTATCGCCTATCATTGTAACAATATCAAGGGTATTTTTCTGAAATTCTAGAGCTTCCTCGAATTTCCCCAGTGATATATGGATATTTCCCAAGCTGCTGTAAGCATTGCCTTCTCCTTGCTTATTACCTATTTCTTTCGCAATGACGAGTCGTTTCTCGTAATACTCAATGGCCTCGTAGTACTTTCCTAGAGACTGATATGCTTCGCCCAAATATCCATATGCATTTCCTTCTTGATCTTTGTCGCCTATCGCTGTGGCGACATGAAGAAGTTTCTGGTGATATTCAATTGCCTCTTGATATCTTCCTAACGATAGAGAGATGACTCCCAAGTAACCATATGCTTTTCCTTCCGTTTGTATGTCTCCCATGTCCTTAGCAATAGCAAGTCTCTTATTGAAGTGCTCGGCAGCCTCGGTATACTTGCCTATTGCCTCATAAACCATCCCTAAGTTTGCGTGAGCTGTACCCTCAACTTGTTTATTCTCTATCTCTTTCACGATGCAGAGGCACTTTGTATTACATTCAATAGCCTGTTGGTATTGTTGTAGCGATTGGTAGACAACTCCTAGCTCTGCGTAAATCTTTCCCTTTGTGTCTTTATCATCACTATGCACAAGTATGGTAAGCGATTTTTCGTAATATTCAACGGCTTCTTTTAACTTCCCTGATAAATAGAGACTACATGCCAAATCTCTACAAGCATGTCCTTCAGTGTAACTGCTTGCAATCTCTGTGGTTGCGATACTAACGCATTTTCTATTGTACTCAACTGCGTTGTCGAAGTCACCTATAGCCTGATAGGCAGCACTTATTCTTTGGTAGATTGCGATTTCAATATTTCTGTCCCCAGAAATCACTTCCAGACACTTTTTATAGATCTCGATTGCCTTGTCGAACTGGCCACAGCTTTGGAAAAGAAAGTCACCAAGACTCATAAAGTCGTCTAATTGTGTCCCTTCTTCGTGCTGAGAAAGAGACATGATGACAACAATCTCAAATAATCAGAACAGTTGTTAGCGGGTAATTAGGTTCCTGGAATTTGCACAAATTGTAGGAAAGCACACCCTCCAATCGCTGACGGTTAACTAAATTGAAGAAATGAATGATATGTTAATTATTTAGGTGGCTGCAAATGAGGCGATTTTCATTTGTATTTTATGCAACTTTGCTCGTAGCCTAGCTGCAGGATTTCCGTGGACCGTGAAGATCGTGAGAAACCGGACCGTGCGCTAGCCAATCACAGCGCGCGAACGACTACGATACCGGGCAGGAAAAAAAATAAATTGGAATACAAAAAGAAAATGTTATGATGAGCTATAAGAAGGACGAGATAAAAATATTCGTTGACAAGTTTCAAAATTTTAAATGAATTTTCCAGAACTTTTAAACTCAAAGCTTTATACAAGCTCCGTGCATTAAAGTTTTCAGTGGAATTTATTTGATACATCCTATACTATCTATATTATAGACAAATAGACGCTAGGCTACCTTGAAAAAAGAAAGAAAGAAAAAACACGCTTATTTAACACAGTTACATAAGGATCTCACTTTAGRAACACTTTTAAAAACAAAAATACCATCAATCTTTAGTAAGCTGAATACTTAGTCAATTCTGATAYTTCTTTGTTCCTCCTCTCATTTTCTATATAGTTTGTTTTATTTCTAATAATTCGAATACGTATGTTCGCTTAAACGGAGGGCACACTATTTAAGATATGAATAAGGGGAACGCATGGCACTATGATAGAACAGATATTATATATGTGTGTTATTTATCGGTTGGGAGGTCCGTATAGCAAAACATTGCCCGAGGTCTTGACAGTACGGAACGAGCGCAGCGAGCCCGTACATAAAAGACCGAGGAGAGTGTTTTCCTATACGGACCAACCTATAGCCGGTAAATAACACTTTTATTTTTTTTTATTTTTATTTTATGCAACTTTGCTCGTAGCCTAGTTGCGGGATACCATGGACCGTGCAGATCGTGAAAAACCCGACCGCTCGATAGCCAATCACAGCGCGCGAATAACTACTGGATCGAAAAAAATAAAGAAATGAAAGAAAGTTATATTGCTTAGAAGGAGGCAATTCCGGCCTTCGGATTTGTACTAGCGATGCTCTACCAGCTGAGCTACAAGGCCAGACTGGGAGCAGGTCGTGGTGAAATAGATGTTGGGTTGCGGTAATAAAATAATGTAAAGATATGAATATTAAGAGGACAGATATAGGAATGGAAGAAAGTGCTTAGAAGGAGGCAATTCCGGGAGAAAGACCCTTAGGAATAAAATTCGTAAAAAATAATTTCCGACCTTGTTAATGTTTAGTTTGTGTAAGGCTTTGCTGCAATTATTAAGAATATTAGATATCTATTTAGGAAATCATTGAAGTATGCTTTCACACAAAGTAGATTTTTGTAATCACATGTAAGGGATTAAATACAATACCATGGCATATTTCGTCGTTTTCAGTTTAATTTTTCAGTTTCGTAGTTTTCAGTTCAATATTTCGAGGTTATTTTTTTAACTGAGGGTATAATTTTTTTTAACTTCAAGACACCCCGGGGGGGTACTCGACCCCGTTTTGGATAGGTACGTGCCGCCAGCGGTCTAAATCCCTGACCCTGTTTAAGACACTAAAAAGTAAAAACCCATACCCTGTTCAAGACAAATCGGAAAAATAAGGAATAGCTATCTACGCTGCAACCATCAAAACTGCAATTATACTGACATCCATCAAAGACAATAAGAAGTTTTTGATAACACGTTAATTCTGCGACAGTGAAACGGTATTTCTTCGGTGTTATGAAAATATTACCCTGTCCAAGACACACAAAAAAATTATATCGGTCTCTTTTATCTAAATTGTAGAGCCTGTTTAAGACAATTTCGGGTGAAATGTATACCCTGTATAAGACAGCAAGGCCAAAAACCATACCCTGGCCAGCGGCACGTCCCCGTATAGCAAATATATGGGAGTACCCCCCCCCCCCCCCCCCCCCCCCCCCCCGCCCTAAGATAAGCTAATGCATAACCAAGAGAAAATGAGGTAAGAGAAGGAATCCCTGGTACTGCGTTCTTAACCCATCATATCAGCCCTTCGTTCTATTTTTAGAAAAAGAGCTATTTTTAGAAATGGAACATGATTGGTCAGATCGTCAGATCCTTTCGTGTTGAATCTACAAATGTAAATTATGCGTTTTATAAATTATCTATTCCAGGTTAAATATTACTGCTCGAGAGGTCAGAGAATTCAAAGGTCAGATTGTCGATCTAATTTCATGTCACATTACCTTCAGAAGCTGATTCTTCTTCGACTCTTTCAAGTTTTCTTTGTTTTGAAGAAGATTCCTTTTTAAAAGCGAATTTCGTAGCTTTAATTTTCTCGAACAGTATTTGACATTCAGTTTTTGGCGATGAAAAATAGCCGATATCAAATTCCGATAAACGAGCAGTGGTCGCGCGGGCTTGGTAACAAACTAAAAATAGCTCTTTTTCTAAAAATAGAACGAAGGGCTGATATGATGGGTACCAGGGATTCCTTCTCTTACCTCATTTTCTCTTGGCATAACACTATAAGCAAACGTCAAGGACCGGAAACAAAATACGTCTGACGCCGAAAAATCATTCGTATATAATACTGAATAATTAGTACTAGACTAACGTAAGCGACATCAAAATAACTCAGCTCTTCATATTGTTATATTTATATTATCCTATCATTATTTATATCACGTGTACAGCTGTCTTTAGATCAAAAATCGTCCACATATCTTCAAAAGTATTCGAGCTCGAGAGAATAACATTAATCATTGTTATTAGATAAAGTAGTTTAGTGTTATTGCTACGTCCAGTTACAGAACAAATCCAGCACAAAATAGGCAACGTTTGTAATACAATCGACAAATATTATGTATGCACAGCGAATTTGAATCATCAGCCAAGTTTTTGTAAAAATCTCATTTTGAGGGCAAAGAATGAATGCTTATAGACGTATGTCCTGAATGGGGGTAACAGAATGTTAATGTACGGTAATATAGGTCGAATTATCACATGGATAAGTTGAATTTAGGTTTTAGCATGAATCATTCCGAGACAACGACGTCTATATCAACAAACCTTACGTACCTCGCCTGGCACAGTGACTTTGCTGCATAGAAGGATACGGCGGCCAATGAACTCTAAATCGATTGGTTTATAGATTTTAAGTAAATTTGAGAGTTTAAATTCAAAATCAATCAGAAATGTTTCCCCACATGCGAGAAACTGCTTAGTTGCAGAAAGAAGTGATCACCTGTGACCTGGTGCTGCTCTCTGATTGGTTGATACTACATAACTATCATATGCAAATATTTTTTTACTCATTTCGAAGTCATGCGGTGTGATAACAAAGCACAACTTCCTGAGCAAATTTATTTTGGTTTTTGAAGCGACGCATGCTGAGTTTTATTCAATCCATTGTAATTGTAAGTTTGTATAAGTTCCTTTCTTATTAAGAGGTGGATTTTAAAAGTTTTCAATTACTGTGTCTAGTTATGCATGTATTTCAAGCAAAACAACTGCAGTTTTGAATAGTTCCTCGAAAGAAATATCCCTTTGTTTTTCGACAGWGGACATAATTAACCTTTTTTTAAATTTGAAGCATCAATATTTTGGTATAAGGGAATGTTTATTAAATAGTCAGGGGGAGGGGGTTGAGATTTTGCACAAATATYCAAAATAAAAAACATACAATCAACTCAGAACCCCGCCTTTCATATCGTTACTTTTTTCTATGTTTTACTTTCCACGTCACATTAATATTCATTCCAGAAGCCACTATATCTCAGCCCCCTCCAACCCCAACCCCTCAAAAAAGAAAAACAACCACACTAATAGATATAAATATATTTGTTAGGTAGGCCACAATCTCGTACCCCGAACCTTCGTTTTTCCTGGCCAGCGCCGTCGACAAACATAAGACTCTGGGATAGAGCGGATTTCGTATGAGTGGGACACCGTTACCGCACGGTTACCGCACAGTTACCACACCTGGCCTGCACAATTTTGGTGAACCAATGGGGCACTAGACTTTGGTTACAGTACGATTACGGTCACAGTACAGCACCGTCCGATTCCCACTCATACGAAATCCGGTCTAACGGAATTTTTACTACGGATTTCTGTCTTCCGGTTTCCATTGCGCATGACTCGCTATCCAAATGGCTTTCGATCGAATTTCCTCAAGAAAATCGCCTTAAAGAAAGTCAAAACAGGAACGTACAAGATCCCAAGTGATTAATCTACCTTCGACAAAGTAAATTCGGTTAGATTATGGTCTGATCATATAAAATTTTGGAATGTTTTCCGATCGCGACGGTTGGTCAGTCGGCGAGACAGTTCGTCGCGGCTAAATTTAACTGCATTTCTATAATGCATTTATTGATCTTGTTCATCGCAAGTTCCTATAATTGAATGACTTAATAAATWACTTTAAGATAAAATGTCGAGATAAAACATGAATTTGCATGTTTTCCTTGGTGGAATTTCACTTCCGGCGGAATCTGTTTCTATTTACAGAACCAATCCCAATTCTCAGAAAATTACGATACTCCAGGGTCTTACGTTTTCGGCGCTGGCCAAGAGAACGAAGCCTCGGGGTAGGAGATTGGRTAGGCCAATTCTTTGCTACTTTAAAACTTGGCTTGTGTAAAGTTTGCACACTCTCCATCATAACACTCTTTATCTGGTCAAAACATAAAATTGCTAACATAACGACTCAATAATGGATGTCAAATTTGGACACGTACCTCCAAAAAACCATATCGTCGAATAAGCTAGCAAAACTACAACAATTGTCAGTTAAGTCTTATGGCATTCACCTCATTTGTCAGCTATAAATTGGTCCAATCATATCAAACAATTGTCTAACACTCGTGCGGGCTATCTGAGTTTTTTGTGGGATCCGTTATTTTCAAGAATTGGAGGGGACTAGGACAAACATGTTGGAAAACAATTTTTCTGCAAATTCTGTAAGTTTTAGCCATTTTACAGCATCAAAAGTGAAAAAAGTGAAAAAACTTTCTAACATACTTCATTATAAGATAACATTACCATAATGTTTGACAAATGCATGATTTTTTTTTCAGAAGCAATTGCTTGATATGTTGTGAATTGTCTGCTCTCATGCTATGCAGTTGAAAAGAATGATATTATGGCATTATTGAAATCTCGGAATGAAAAACAATTGACATATAAAAAGTGCTGGCCATTATTACAGATGCCCATTAATTCCTCTGCTGGAATATTAATTAATATTAATATTAATTAGTGCTGCAATAGCKCAAAGTACAGTGTACTGGTTTAAACTCGTACACATAAAAATGATGACAGTTTTGTACTCTGATCGTTCTCTCATATTTACAACAGGCCCCATACGTAAAGCACACTTTCTTGAAGACTATTCCATCTGCAACTTCTGGATGTGGCTGGCTCAGCCATCCAGGACCTACCGTGCTGCAATGATAAAGTGGAACGCACTTTGTGGGCATACGAACCCCCCCTGTCCCTGAAAATCTGTACCACTTTATTTCAATGCTATTATCACATTTCTTTGGGTGTTGCCCGTGTGTTGTTAGTCGGGTAGAATCGGTGATGTTCTTATAGTTTGAGCATGGAGAATCTGAAAACAATAAAAATTACATTTGATGCTATATTTAACAAATTACGCACGATTTTTTGTTGTATGTCCTCTTATTGACGCACTCTTGACGGCAGAAAATGTTCAAAACTTAAGCGAAAATTATTCTTTCCTCTCGGCTCAGCGCGCGCATGACGTGCTGGTGTCAGCAAAGTGTGCATGTCCTCTTATTGACACACTTTTATCAGCAGATCAGCGCGCAAAAATGTACACACAAGTGTTGTAAAATTAATAATATGGTTTTGAGCTGTATGTCCTCTTGATGATGCATTTTCAAACTTATGTCTCACATGAAACCACTACGAGCTTCCTTTTGGGCGTTTGTATCAAAAAATTCAAATTTTTACTTATTTTGATATCCACTTTCCATTTCTGAGCATCTTTTTTTATTGCTGATTGATTTAAGGTATGTGTAGTCACGTGACTCCCAGCTGCAAATGACCTATTACATTAAGTAGAAAGAAACTCACCCCATGCGAAGTTGACACAGGTCGATCCATTGAAGAATCGCCCGATATTACATCTACATTTATAGGAGCCTACAGTGTTTTCACAACCATCATCAGAATCGCAGCCATGTGTTTTTG